CCAGGACTAGGAAAACAATAACAAACCATCTCCAAGGCCCTCACAGAGGCAATAAATAACAATGATCAGAGCATAACTAAATGAAATTCAAACCAAAAATTTACAAAGGATCAACAAATGAAAAGATTGTTCTTTGACAATATAAGCAAAATTGATAGACCACTAGGTATATTAACTGAGAATAGGGAGAACTCAAATAAGCTCAATCATAATTGAAAAGGAGATCTTACAACTAATACCACAGAAAAAGGGGCTTGGTCAGTGAGCTCCCTTGTATCCAGCACTCCCTGGTGTTGCTTGACCGGTGGCTCTATCAGAGCAGCACATGATGAAAAAGGGACGGGCATTGAAACTGCTTGGTCAACTTGTGGGCAACTCAGGACCAGCATGCTTCTCCCTGGCAGAGTCAGTGATTGACTTTTAGGGACCCAGGGTTGGGCCTGAAGGCCACTTCCATATCTCCAGATCTTAATCATGTTGCTTGGGGGAATGGAGGGGAGATTAGTGAATTAGTCTCAGGAGGCAAGGGAGCCCACATGGGAAGATCTGGGGGGAGAGTAAAGTGTGAGTCCTAGCTATGGCATGCTTGTAAAGCAACCCTCCCTGCTATGCTCCCTGCTATGCTCTCAGCTCTGGCTGGGATCCTGGGCAGGAAACCTCCTGGCTCAAAGCACAGTTATGGGGGAGCTCGAGTGGCTTGATCTCATGCCGTTGGAAGATACTAAAGGTAGACTGTAAAGTAAGAAAGGGGGAGTAAAGGAAGATAAACTCCAGACTACCAGATTGTGAATCACAGATAGCCTGACCATAAGCAGACTTTCTGGTTGGGTGGGGCCACTTCAGCTGCTCTGTGAAAGCTTTACCCAGAAGCTTGGAGCAGACCTTTGACCTTTCCCAAAATAACTATCTTGTCAGCTTTTGTGGAGCCTGAAGGCAAGCTCACCTAACCCAGTTGCATTCCCTCACCTGCCTCTGCTGTGCCAGAGAATAAATACTCACCTGTAAGTTCCAGGGTCCCACTCACCATCTGAGGAATTTGAGTGCTTCTCCTGAGGGACTAGAGTTGGTCACAGGACCCCCAAACCACATCACAGCTTTTCCTTCTGACAAGCACCACTTACTGACAGGGAGGTCAATTTGCCTGCCCTTTATAACATTTACTGACCCAATTATGCAATATATGATTGATTCTCACCCATAAACACCACCTACTATCTCAGAGAATAAAGTGGGTGTGCCATTACAATTTACACTGTTAAGAAGACAGCAGGGTTGTAGAAAAAAAAGGATTTCAAAGCCCTCCATCCTCTCTAATCAAGGAGAGAAAGCGAATCAGCCCACTCACATAGCTCACCAATCCTATAGACTACAAACAACTAGCAACTGAGAAAACCACCACACTAAGAATATCTATAACCAATGCATTCATCCAGAACACAGATCACCATCAAAGCACCCACCAGAAAATCCAAAGGTTCTTACCCAACATATGCTACAAACATACCTGTATCAGTGATGGAAAGGGAAAAAGCCCAATATAAACAAAATAAAATCCAAAAATAAGAAGCAACAGCTACTCCAGATGAGAAGGAATCAGCAAAAGAACTATGGAAATATGAAGAATCAGACCAAAAGGACACCCCCAAAGGGAACATCAACTCTACAGTAATGGATACCAAACAAAATAAACATAATGATATGTTTATAATGTCATAAACAAAATGACAGAAAAAGAATTCCAAATATGGATTGTAAAGAAGCTCAACAAAATTGAAGATAAAATGGAAAAACAACTCAAAGAAACTAGAAAAACAATTCAAGAAATGAGTGAAAACTTCACTAAAGAGATGAACATCTTAAGAAAAAACAAACAGAACTTCTGGAAATGAAAAATTCACTTAAGGAAATAAAAAACACAGTGGAAAGTTTTTAAGAATTGACTAGTCCAGGCAGAAGAAAGAATCCCAGAACTTGTAGACAACTCTTTTGAATTAACTCAGTCCATCAAAAATGATGAAAATCATGAAGAAGAATAAAAAAAGCCTATAAGAATATGGGATTATGTAGAATGGCCAAATATAAGAATCATTGGCATCCATGAGGGTTCTTTGAAAAGATAAAGAAAGTTGATAGACCTTTTGCTAGATTAACCAGGAATAGAAGAGTAAATACTCAAATAAGCTCAATCAGAAATGAAAAAGGAGAATACAAATAATGCCCACAGAAAAACAAAATATCATCTGTGAATACTATGAAATCTACATGCACATAAACTCAAAAACATAGAGAAAATGGAAACATTTCTGGAAACACACAAACTCCCAAGATTTAATCAGGAATAAATTGAACTCCTGAACAGACTAACACTGAGCAACAAGGTTGAAGTAGCAATAAAAGTCTCCCAACAAAGAAAATCCCTGGACTACATGCATTCACAGCCCAATTTTACCAGATTTACAAAAAAGAACTGGTAGCCCTATTGAAGATTATTCCATGACATCAAGAATGAGGGAATCCTCTCCAATTCCTTCTATGAAGCCAGTATCACCTTGATACAAAGCCCGAAAAGATACAACAAAGAATGAAAACTGTAGATCAATATCCCTTATGAAAATAGATACTAAAATCTTCAATAAAATGGTATCAATAAAATTCAACAGTATATCAAAAAAATAATCCACCATGACTTAGGAGGCTTCATCCCAGGAATGCAAGCATGGTTCCACTTATGTAAATCAATAAATGTGATTCACCATATAATCAGAACAAAAAAAGATCATATGATCATCAAAATAGATGGATGAGCATTCAACAAAATTCAGCACAATTTCATGATAAAAATCCTCAACAAACAAAAGGCATAAAAGGAGCATATCTCAAAATCATAAAAGCCATATATAACAAACCCACAGCCAGCATCATACTTAATGGGGAATAGTTGAAAGAATTCCCACTAAGACCTGGAACAAGACAATTATGCCCACTGTCACCATTTCTATTCAACATAGTGCTGAAAGTCCTAGCCAGAGCAATCAGTCAAGAGCTCAGGGTATAAAATCAATGTACACAAATCTCTAGTACTTCTATACACCAATAATAGTCAAGCTGAGAGTCAAATCAAAGACTCAATTCCATTCATAGTAGCTACAAAGAAAATAAAATACACAGGAATATACTTAACCAAGGAGGTGAAAGATCTCTACAAAGAAAACTATGAAATACCGAGGAAAGAAAATACAGACAATATTAATACAAAAAATTGTAAAAACATATGTTAATGGATCAGTAGAATCAAAATTGCTAATGTGTTCATGTTACTCAAAGTGATTTACAGATTCAGTGCAATCCCCATAAAAATATTAAATTCATATTAATATTTCACAGATGTGGAAAATATAATTCTATACTTCACATGGAACCAGATAAGAGCTCAAGTAGCAAAAACGATCTTAAGGAAAAGGAAACAATTGGGAGGTATCTAATTTCCAGACTTCAAGTTATACAATAAAGCTATAGTAACCAAAATAGCATAGTATTGGCACAAAAATAGAGACATAGACCAATAGAACAGAACAGAAAACTCAAACATAAAACTATTTGCATACAGCCAGCTGATCTTGGACAAAGAAGACAACAATATACACTGGGAAAAGAACTCCTATTTAATAAATGGTGTTGGGAAAATTGGATAACCACATACAGAATATTGAAACAGGATCCATAGCTCTCACCAATCACAAAAATTAATTCAAGATGGATAAACGACTTAAATGTAAGGCATGAAACCACAAGAATTCTAGAAGAAAATATTGAAAAAAACTCTTCTAGAATAATAAACTATTGCCCTGGGCAAATAATTTTTTTAATTTTTTTTTATTTCAGCATATTACAGGGGTACAAATGTTTAGGTTTGTATATTGTCTTTTCCCTACCCATGTCAGAGCTTCAAGGGTGTCCATCATTCAGACGGTGTGCACTGCACCCATTAGGTGTGTATATACCTAATTGTATACCCCAAATGGATGGTAAATGTGTTTGTTGAAAAACTCTTCACAAAAAACATGCACTATAAAGAGTTTAAGATAAAAAAATAATGGAGATGTCTTGAACTCTTAAAAATGCTCATGCTTATTTTTGATTGCTGGTCTTCATACATATAGAAAGATGTATATAAACACTCATATATACAAACACAAACCTGTGTGTATATACGTGTGTGTATTATTTTCTGTTTTTGCTAATTTTTTCCCATTGAGCATAATGTACTTTTGAGATGCAAAAGTATTTGTATTTTTTAAATACAAATCTATGTAAAGATAAAAGGCAAAACAAAACAAAATTACTAAAACATTTTAATTACCCTTTTACACAAGATAATTTTCTATAAAATTCGTCTCTACGTATTTTATTGGAATTCATATTCCTTTTAATTGAGACTTCACAGAGAACTCTAAATTATAAAATATAGTTGAGCTTTTATCCAAATTTGAAAGAGTAAATTCAGAATCTAACAATGTATTACATAGCACATACCACATTTTCTATACAAAGAATCTTGAAACCTACATGTAGTCACTTACACTTGCGGGAGTTGCCATAATTTTGTTATGTTTTTAAATAAGTTTGAGTTTTTAACTTAGATTCCTGTTGAATCCATTATTTAATCAATGTAAACTGAAAACTGGTAGGAGAAATAAAAACTGAATACATTTGCATAATTATCCATCCATCTATCTATCATCTTTAAATGATGGCAGTGATCGTTTTCAGTGAGCATCCCATTTTGAGGTTTAATTTTAAGCAGATCATTATTAAAGCCATTTGTTTCTATAAGGTGAAATACTAAGGTTGAGAGGTTTAAGACACAGAGCAATTAGTGCTGTGCCCAGTGTCCTATAGTCAAACTCTTTACCTTGCTTAGAAACCAAAATCCCCCAAGTAAAGCAGTCAAGTTTGACGGTGACACTTCACGTAAAGTAAGGCATAAGCCTGATACTCACAGATACGCAGCTTTTCCTTCTTCCAGTTCTTTACTTTTGCCACTGGAGCCACTTTTCTTTCCACACATTCTCCTGGTGATGCACATCAATAACCCGCATTGCCGAATAAAAAAGCAGCTGACATCTGTTACCACTAGGATTAGCAGAAGTGCAGCAACTCCAAGGCCAATGACTGCTCCAAGCCCAAGCCCATTAAAAAGTGTGTCTTAAAAAATAAAAAAAATATAGAACCACAAGTTAGAAAATATTAAATGATTATATTAAAAATAAATCTTATCCAAGAAATAGTCACCTAAAGCGATAAGAAAAAGTGATAGTAACTCGCAGACTTCCAATCTCATGATTGTTGAGATCTACTCTCTGGTTTTCAAACAATATTTTAAGTAATTGATCTGTTAATTATTTGGATATTTTCTCAAATTTTCTCTTTAAAAAAATGTCTAAGTAACTCTTATTTTCAATATATTTCTTGATTCCCTGTGGGCAAGATAATGAATATTCTCATACCTCTAACTGTATTTTTTTGGAAAGTCATAGCCATTCATAGTTCATCAATATTGAAAATAAATTTTAGTCAAAACTCTAGTAATAAAGGTGTAAATAGATGTTCCATATGAAATTATTTTAGTTTTAAGACTTAAAATTGCAAATGGGTGGTTCCAAGCACCTTACTTTGACAGAGACTATATTTTAAAATACCTTTCTATGAATATTTAAAAAATCACCATCTTAGACTAAATGGTTCACTTTTCTTAGTTAATATTTTAACAAATAGATTAGAGGCAAATTTTTAAAGAGTTATGATACTGAGGACCTTTTGTTAGATCCTATCATGAAAAAACAGGGGAAGTTGAGAGCCAATTTTCCTTCGCATGTGGTTGCAGGAAAAATCCAAATACATGTAGATAGTACCCACCAAAGTGGTGAGTGGGAATAAGATGGAAAATGCTGATTGATAAACCAGAAATGTCAAGAGGGCACTTAGTAATAACAATGAATCAGTCATTATATGTCTGTAGTGTAATAAAAGGCTATACTACACAACTGTAACAGTATACATTAAAAAATAAGGACAATGGAAATAAATAAATTAAACTGGTTATATTGTGTTATTTAGAGGAAAAAGGAAGATAACAATTTCACAGATATTCAAAACTATTCTCAGTACATATGTTAAGAATTTGCTTACATAACACTACAAAATTATAATTATTCTTTTTAATAGTAAAACACATTCACTATTCAGCATAACCATGGAATATTTTCTATGTAACTGATGTGGAACACAAGTTACAGACACATATGCAGATATAAATTTGGTTTTTGAGAAAAACACTTTTGAAAAATATATGTATGTAAAGCAAAGTTTTCCTAAGTCATATTTTTAAACTTAAGCTTCATAGTTTAATAGTGACTTGAAAAAAATACTGACTCAAAGCAATCAGAGTAACTGCTATCATTCTAAATCTACCAGAGCAGGTCAACCTTGAAAAAGTCACACCTGTCTGAATTTTTATTGTTCTGTAGAACAATAGAATCTCATGTCTACATTTATTTTATTTTTCCAGGAAATAGATATAAGTTATTTACATTTTTTAACACTCTTGCAGCTTGCAGCTAGACTAAGAAAAATCATGCTGTTGGTGACATAGTGACCTGGCTTTTTATCCAGGCAACATTGTGGTTGTCATGCTAGAACACATGCTAGAACACATGCTAGAACACAAACCTACTTCTACAGTGTCACCCGATGTGGCAAATGAGAATTCCTTAATCCCTGAATCAACAAATTTAGAGCTTACATGCCCAAGAAATGAATAATTTTTATTATAATTCTTTTGTTTCTAATAAAGAAAACCAGGTAATAAACACACAGCAGTGTGAGAAGGAAAATAATTTTTCATGCCATTTTCAGAATCTCCTTCTTCTACTAAATTTTAATATACTGCTTAGATGGTGATGATTTAAGAAAATTATTTAACTAATGTCCAGAGAAATTATTGATTTTTCACAAAGCTATTATCTTATCACATCAACCCACTTTAAGGAATGACTAGAGGAAGAATAGTATTTTTCAGCAATGGGGATTTAGTATCTTCACTTTTCCTTTTTCAAAATCCCAATAAGCAAATGGAGAGTGACATTCTAATGATTATTTACCAATTTTCCAAAGGTATATCTCTATGAATGATGTAAAAAAGAACTAGTGCCTTGTGCTATAAAAATAATATATCAAGCAAATTAGGATTTCTGTTATCAACTTAAAAATAAATAATTGCATGCATTTTCTTCCATTATCTATTTACAAATATAAATGATCTTCTTCTGAATCTATTATTACAATATAATGAAGACAACTTACCTAGGGAACACCTCTGCTTATATGTAAAACTACAATATTTTCTTCAAAATTCACATGTAATGATTTTAGATAAGCTGCACACACTTCAACAACCAAAGCTCAGAAAAACGGAGTGAAAACATACCTACATAATTGGGCTTGATCCTCTGTGGATACACTGACTTAGTGGTTCTATGGTCTGAACTTGTCACTCCTCTCCTACTTCATTTAGGTTCCTCTCACATGCAGACATAATTATAGGCAATAAATCCTACAGATCAATAATAATGTATCTGGCCCATTATATAAATTCTCATTTACCTTTCCAAAGCATAAAGAGTATTGCCTTTGTACTTAAACGCACTACATTAGGAGTCAGAAAATCCTAGTTTCATCACTTACTGTTGTATGTACTTGGGATGAGCCACCTAATTTCTCTAAATGTGAGATTCCTCTTTATTAAATCAGGGGCAGTTATGATAACAATGACAACTGCAAGCTAGGGCACTGAGTTGCTGAGAAGATTGTTGAGAATATGGTGAAGTATTAATACTTAACACCCCTAGCACTTAAATGCCTAGCACAAAGTAAAAATGTAATAAGTATTGATCATTATTATTATTTTACTATGACAAAATTCTAGAGAAACAATATTTGGTAGAAAACAATAGATCATCCAAAATTAAATGTTAAACTACTCTGTAAACATATCTCTTCATCAGCAATCTGAGGTGGGAGGGTTTCTTTTATTAAGTACTGATTATTCTATTGAGAATATAATAACTTTTTAAATTTTATAAAAAATTTATTTATTTATTTCAGGATGCTATGCGGTACAAACATTTGGTTAAATGTTGACTTTGCCACACCCAAACCCTGCTACAACACTCAGCGTGTCCATTAGTTGTGAGTTTACCCAACCCCAACCCCCTAATCCCTGAAGAATAATAAATACCATTTAATCCAGCAATAGCACTATTAGGCATCTACCTAGAAGAACAAAAGACAGTCTATAATAAAGACACTGAATGTTTATGGCTGCACCCGAATGTTTATGGCAGCACCCAAATGTTTATGGCAGCACCTGAATGTTTATGGCAGCACCCAAATGTTTATGGCAGCACCTGAATGTTTATGGCAGCACAATTCAATATAATTACTTTTTAAAAAAATTATTCGAGTTTAGCTAGTTAGCATCTAAATGACAAATATTTGATTCATGAGGTTTTTAGCATTAAAGCAGTATTTTGATTTGCTTCATTTCCATTTTCAGAAAAAGTTCCTAGAGAAATTTTTTTAAATCATCTATAGTGAATAAATATAGATGCTAAAATAACTATTACTTTTTCTAGATAAAATAACACAAAACCTTTTAAACTTAATGATTAAAATTTTTGAAGGTTGCTTAAAGTTATTTTTATGAGAAAGTAAATATATTTTTATCATTGCAGAAGATAGGAGTGGATATCACATACGACTATATTATAAATATTTAATTAAGTTGTCTGTTGAAATTTGTTTTTTATATATAAATTAATGATTAATAATGGATTTAAATGTTTATACTTTCTCATATCCCATGAGGTTAGGCTACAATAACTAATGAAAATTCAGTTTTCTAATGTTTTTCATATTTATTTCAGCCACAAGTTTGCTCCAACATAAAAAGTTTATTTCTACTTTGTATTTTTCAAAAATAAAACCATAACTACATATAAAATAAAATCATTGGGATTTGGGTACTAGCAATGATTTATTTTCTCAATAATGTATAGGAAATTCCTTCTTGATCAGTTAATTATGGTTAATTACTTAACAAATTGAAACTGAGCATACATAATTATTTCAAGGATTTTAAACTCATTTTTTTCTTTTTAGCTTTCCGGAATACTTACACATATACTTTATGTGGCAATTTTTATGACAAATCCATTATGTGGGAAAACTATATTATGAGATCTGCTTTACAGATGAGAAACTGATGTTAAGAGAGGTCATTGACCAAAGTCATACAATAACCCTTAAAATTAGACCTGCACAAATGAAGCACTACTTAACTCTAGGTTTTGTAGTTTTTATACCTGTGCTAGAGCCAACATTTTACATTGTATTTTCACAATCAAATTATGAAAATATAAGGATAAGTATAATATAATAAATACATCATAAACATATTATTCTTATAGAAAAATTCCTATAGTCATTTACCTTTACTATTAGTGAAGCAACAACTTTTAAAAGCTATGTACATGAGGTACAACAATGTAAATTATTTATCTGACTTGTATCTCTGCTTTAAGCTTCCTCTTTAGTTATTTTTTTGAATTATTCTTATGAAAAATGGGATTTATATTAGAATTGAATAAGAATAAATAATTTAGGAAGCAAAAACTTTACTTCTGTCTTTGGTTTATATTTTATTATCAAAAGCAAATATGAGAATCAGACTGAGTTTCCATAACCATCCTTCTCAGCTGCATTTCTCCAACCCTATGAAAATTGGGAATTGGCTTACTAAATCTATTTCCCTAGATCTTTATGTAAATGTATTCTAATTTTCATAAAAACATAAAATCAAAGTATTAAAATAAGAAAATCTGAGTTCAATTTAAATTTGTTATGTGCAACAGTTGCCCCTTATCCAAAGTTTCACTTTGTGCAATTTCAGTTACCTATGGTCAGCTGCAGTCTGATAATATTAAATGAAAAATTCCAGAAGGAAACAATTCATAAATTTAAACTGCATGCCATTCTCATTAGTGTAATGAAATCTTATGCCCTCTTGCTCTGTCCCGCTCAGGACGTGAATCTTCCTTTTGTACAGCATTATCCACACTTTCTATGCCAGCTTCCCTATTAGTCAC